GGCAAAATCAGCTACATACTTTCCGGAGGGGGAGAGGGAGACGACGGGAGGAAACTCGTAGCCCCACAGGATCTCGTCGGGCAGGTAGGAGGTGCGGACTTGGCAGGTGGCCGAGGTCGGCTCCACGGTAGCGCTCATGATCACAAGCAGCTCAAAGTCAGCCAGCTCCGGATCCGTCCACCCGCCACCTTAGAAAAAAAAAGATATATAGTGAAACAGATGGCAGAAATTTAGCAGTGGATAACATAATTCATCCCATTTTGTCCCAAACTTGTATGACTTCCATTCAGTATGAAGCAGTTCAGAACATATTATTTTTCATTAGCCTTTGATCAGGGATGAGTGCTGAGGTATTGTCGCTGTAGTTACCCTTTTGGGTCTGTCTTGTATGTTGTGTTTTTTTTATGGTAATTTATTATTTCCTCTTAATTGAACTTACAGTACAGCACTTTGGTCAACTTAGTTGTTTTATTAGGTTCTTTATAAATAAATTTGGAATATGGCGAATAAAATTGGTGCAGTTCTCAAATCTCATTCATAGTGTGTCATATCAAATAGTTTTAGGGTGGGACTTTTTGGAGCTTGTCTATTTTCATTTACATTCTCTTATTGAATAGAATTTGGATATTCTTCATAGAATATTTATCATGTAAATGATTTATACAGTATATTAAGTCATGCTTAATGTGAACATCTATTCATTAAGCCTTCTCCTTACTCCATTTAGATGTATATTACTATTATTTTATTTCTACTTATTGAATTTTTCTTCATGTATATTATGCAAAGTTATTTTAGTTAACTATAACTGAAACCATGAAAAACATTTGTTACTTGAAATAAAATAAGCATTAACTGAAATAATATAAAATAAAATGTAAATAACAAACTTATTCATGAAATAAAAACTAATAAAAATAATTCATATATTTATATAAAATTACTGAAACTTACTCATAATGCAAAAATAAATATATAAATAAAAATAACATGTGATATTACATTTAGGTTTTATTTAATTTTTCTATTCTATATATGTATGTAAGTACCTGGAAACCATACCAAATTACTCGTGTTTTTGTGCACAGTTGGTGAATAAATCAAATATCGATTCTGATTCTAATTCTAAAGTTAAGAAAGACATCTACAAAATTCTCAAAACATTTGTCCCCTACAATAAAATTTAACACCATATACACACTTTACATCAAAACAGATAGTTTAACACAATTCAGACAGTAAGACAATCAACAAATTATGTAAAAATTATGTGTTGGTATGTAAGGAAACTTAAGGCTCATACCAGCAGAAACACAAATGCCTTCACTCGTAAACATGCCATTCACCCACTGACACACACACACACACACAC